GCGGCGTTATGCAAATCTTCCCACATAGTGACGTAGACATGTGGGGCGTGTTAGAACGAGCCGTTTTAGGTAGGTGTGGTTGACTCTTAACTTTTATAAAGAATATCTCTTTGGATTTGAGACTTTAGTCTTTGCAACTTTACAGATCTTCTTTATGCACCAAGAGCTTGTAACACTCCAAAGAGAAAGGAACAATTGAAATCGCATCATATGACCCCTTTAACAATTAAAATGTCCTCACTCTCAGGCCATACAAGATGTAGATGAGTTTGTTTCTTCATCAGGTTTGTAGAAATGTAGCATTGCATCAGTGTCTCGGCAATGGATGCTCTGCAGTGAATGGGTGCCTTCAGAATGAGAGTCCAAACAGCTGATAAAAACATCACAATAATCCACACGTAATCCACACCACTACAGTCAATCAGCTAACATCTTGAGAAGCCAAAAGCTGCGTGTTTGTAATAAATAAATCCATCAAGATTGTTTTTAACGTCAAAGTATTGCTTTTAAATAAAATGGTACATAATCCATAATAACTCTTCCTCCAGTGAAAATCTTATCTTGTCTGAATCAGGAGAAAAATCTGCACAGATCAAGCACAGTTTGCAAATGAAAACAGTCCAAAACGGCTCTAAACAAATATGTGGGTGGAGTTTGATGTGAGAGACAACAGGAGATTGACTTTTTCACTGGAGGGAGCGTTATTATGGATTATGGACTCGTATTTTAGCTGGAAGCATCGGTTTAAATGTAAAACATATTAATGATGATTTTTTTTTTTTGGCTTCAAAACTAATGGACTGGAGTGGTGTGGATTATTGTGATGTTTTTATCAGCTGTTTGGACTCTCATTCTGACGGCACCCATTCACTGCAGAGCATCCATTGCTGAGCAAGTGATGCAATGCTACATTTCTCCAAATCTGATGAAGAAACAAACTCATCTACATCTTGGTGAGGCCTGAGGGTGAGGACTTTTTCAGCAAATTTCCATTTCTGGGTGAACTATTCCTACCTGTGATCACGATAATATTGGCATCAACACAAACAAGTTTAGGCTATTTTTCAAACAAGTTTATTTTCTCAATGACATAATTAACTAATGAAAGAGTAATGAAAAGACTAGTCTGAAAGTACGTTCAACCAAAAGTGAACTTTATGTATTTCTAAACCTTTATGACTGATGAAGTTTAACAAGGACATTTTTGTTAATAGTTTTTACTCATTGTAAGATCTACAGAGTTAGGCTACTTTTGGTTACTAGCTTCTTCCTCACCTCTCACGAAAACTAATGATGTCCATGACCACTTCTCAGAATAATCGTAGATTACTCATTTAGTGTTGATAATATGGTTTTGTCTGTTTAAATTAAGAAGAGTGTTCACAAAATATGTATCTCTGCAGGCTTTCAGAGATGTACTCATCTGGCACTGTGTCTGAAAGCGTGACACTGTACAGTCATTCTTCAGTCACACAGGGCATTAATATGAATGTAATGATTAGGCACAGGAAGTCAAATCCACCCAACACACTTGTTTCCTACTGATGATGAACCAATGCCACATACCCTATTCCAACTCCATACTGGTGACTTTTTTAGTCGGGTTTGCTGTAACATCCCAACCACCAAATGCAGGAACTGTATATAGGTGCAAGGCATCGGTTTGGGTCAAGCTCACGAACACAGGCCAAAATTGAAAACAAACATACACTTTTCCAACATATTATGATGTAAATATGGCTCTGGTATCTAGAGCATTTGCAGCTTATTTGGCCTGGACACACCATTGCTGTAGAGTGAATATAGAGCCTTCATTATTCACCTGCTGTACAGATGACCTGCTTTTGTGTCTTCAGCAGAACGTTTTTCAGAGCATGACCTCAATTAGAGAGAGTGGTTGAGAGTGTCAGTGGGTAAATGTTTCTGAAACGTGCCTCTTTATCTAGGCCACTGTACACAATGTTTGTCAAGGACAAACTGAAATTTGTAAAAGGTTACTTTTTACTTACTATTTTTTAAAGTGAATGCATGCAGATAAAATGAGCTGTATGTCAAAGCAAATTTATCCAAGTCTAAAAATATACACCATGCATGTTGGTCATTTACCATACAACTGTTTAGTCATTAATTATTTAATGCATTTCAAAAAGGTAATGCACAAATTAAAATAATTAAAATTATGAACCAGAATGTTAAAATATTGATTATTTAACCCTTTTATGGATTGTATGTCAATATAAGATGATGTCAACGATGTGCTGCAAAAAATATATTGAAATAGGAGAATGCATTGTTAAATAAATATTATTTGTAAGTAGCTCGTGTATGTTAATATATTTTTTTTAATGTCTTCATACTAGGCCTGGGCGATAAAACGGTATAAATATTTATCGACGGTACACCTTCTTCGATAACGGTATAAAAAATGTTCGATATAGGCACGTGCTATGAGACAGCACACACAAACACGAACATGAGTGCTGTGCCTGCCTGTGACGAGGAGATTGTGAATAATAATAAAAAAAAAGAATATTAGTCGAATTTAAAATAAACATTTGCATTTGAATGCAAAAATAGTACAATCGAATGTTAGATGTGCATCATCAGTGGAGCACGAGATGCGGTTATGATGTAAGTGACGTTGTAGTTTAATGTTTTGTTAGTCTAGCCCCGCTGCTGCGTTATTCATTCAAAATATTAGAGAAATATAGTAGCTCAATGTGTAGAAGATCTTGATTAGGTTAAAACCGAAACCAAGCCATTCACACAGAACACAAATTCAGCGCATTTTTTAGACGGACAAATATGACTGCTGCACTCGCGTCTCACACAAGAGATGTATAGAAAGCCATGCAAAGTTAAAACAGTTTAAACTTTTAGAAAACACGTCACGAATCTGTGGAGGTTTATTCCTTTTCACTGCGTCTCTTATGTTTTTAAAGGCAATCTGTGCGATCGGTGATTCGGCTCTTTGTATTAAGCAATGCATAAATACGTGATGCTGTTTTGTTCATAATTGTTTATGCAATTTATGAAATTATATTTTATTTATATGAGTTAATTTAGACGTAATGCATGTTTTTTTATAGACAGTTATTTCCTTGATTTGACAATTTAATGTGCTGCATTATTTTGCTCACTGCGCCCTCCTGTGGCCTCGGGAACAAGCCAAAAGTTTAACCTATTTAATCTGCATATAAAACATTAGAAATGAGATATTTGTTTAATTTTTATTTTGTGTTTGACTGTTAAAACAAAAAAACAGTCTCAATAAATGTTGTTTGTCTCAATAAATTTAGTTAATTTAAAATACAGTGGTTAAATGTAAACATTTGTTTTCTATTGCTCGTTGTTTTAAAAAAGGTTATAAAAAATTTCAATAATTATCGATACCGAACGATATGAAACATTATATTGTTGATACATTTTTTAGCTATATCGCCCAGCCCTACTTCATACTAATAAAATAAAAAAAATAATACTAAAAACATTTCCATAATTCAACCGGTGTTATAGATATTTCAAATTTGAGCTTGCTTATCCTGAAATATAATTTGCCTTTTATCTCAAATCCCTTTGGCTAATGTAAATAAAAAGTGGCGCATCTTACCCCACCGACTCTTTGCTCAAAGTAATGTTTTACATTCCCAAAGCTGACTTGTTCTCCGTTTCTCTAGCTTGATAAAACTATCGACATAGACGAGCGGCGTCTGATCCGGACAGCGATCCGGGAGCTGCGGCGCTGTGAGATTGAAGAAATAGAGGCAGCGCTAACCAGCAAGCGCTTCAGACGTGCCCACCAGAACAGACATGAGGATAAAGAAAACCAGTGTCGGTATGAAGAATTTGATGTTTTTTTAAGAAATGATACAGTTTTATCTGACATGCAAAATTTGCAAATGCAAGAATCTGTTGTGCAAAACACAGTGCAAAGTCCTGCATAACATGAACCATTACGTTTTGCATTTGAACTTGTTTGCAGTCCTGATCTGACAGCTTCTTTAGACGTGCTGTCGGGGAAGATTCAGGCTATACATGACATTGAAGAACTTACTGGACTGGTAAGGCCATGTATAAAGACATAAGATGTTTGTTGCTGATGCTCTTGTGTTGTTCCTGTCAACATTCCTTGAGTGAGATTGTGCTCATATTATTCTGGAGATGGTTGATAAGTGTTTCAGCCCCTGTATGGAATGTTGTCATATCACCAAAATCATGAAAAAAAAAAAACAGCGCACTGTAAGCTCTTTGTTAGTGTAAAACAAAAGGCTGCAAAGAGCCCATTCTGAATGAACACCCTTGTTCTATGTTAAAAAGTTGTGAGGTTTATTGTTCTTGAAAATAGCAATGAATTTTGATGAATTAATTCTGTCCTGTTTTTGTGTTAAGAATGTGCAGAAATTATTTAAAGGAATAGTTCACGAAAAAATAAAAAAATGTACTTATCCTCATACCATCCGAGATGTAGATGAGTTTGTTTCTTCATCAGGTTTGTAGAAATGTAGCATTGCATCAGTGTCTCGGCAATGGATGTTCTGCAGTGAATGGGTGCCATCAGAATGAGAGTCCAAACAGCTGATAAAAACATCACAATAATCCACAAGTAATCCACACCACTCCAGTGCATCAGTTAATGTCTTGTGAAGACAAAAGCTGCGTGTTTGTAACAAACAAGTCTATCATGACTCTCATTCTGACGGCACCCATTCACTGCAGAGGATCCTTTGGTGAGAAAGTGATGGAATGCTACATTTCTCCAAATCTGTTCCCATGAAGAAACAAACTCATCTACATCTTGGATGGGCTGAGGATGAGTAAATTTTTTCGGGGAACTATTCCTTTAAATATGGCTAAATATGGTTAATCAGAGCTGAGAGTACTACACTTCATCCAAAACCTGCAATTAAAAATGTATTTGGTATTTTCGAATAGTTTGAATTCTGTGGAAATATCCCAGCGTTTTCTCTGTGGAATTCTGTGAGTTCACATTCTGTGTGGGCTTAAATATCAGTCATTTCAAGCTAAATACTGTTTTTGTGTCTTGCCCTCTGTTTTTCTTTCTTTCTTTTAAGTTACAAAGCGCCAGTGAATATGAAGAGAGAAAACTCATTCGGGCAGCCATTCGCCGGCTGAGAGATGAGGAGATACGAGGTGAGATTCTATCTGAAGGGCTGGAAAAATATCTCTATACGTCTGTGTGTGTTTACATTCCCCCGTTCTCATTCACAGGAGTATTAGAGAAGGTTCAGACCACTGGCCAGAGAACAGAGCGACGACAAAATCCTCAAAGCAGCTTTGACCTGCAGGTGAGTAAATGTGGCGCGGTGAATCTCAGGGATAACTGGGCTGAAGTTTGGGGCTTAATGTGGAATGAGGAGAGAGAAATCTGAAGACGCAGGGCTGGAGATTGTTTTGGCCTGTTGAAAAGCTCAAGGGTTCAGTGAGAGTGGCAATTAGAAATTTTGTACTGTTTTTCAAATGATTTGGCCACCTATTTATATAGAAAATTATGTAAGGAACATAATGTTGTAGTATTGTGCAATTTTGATTGATGTTCAGGGAGTGCCACACTTCTCTATTTCTAGCTCTGATAAATGCACAATTAAGTTTGTTTAATGCAGTTTCTAAAGTTTGGTTCTGGCTCTGGAAACACTAATTGGTTAAATAATTTATAAAGTTTCTTCTTGTATTTAAATACGTTTTTATTGTATTTTTGATCAAATAAATGCAGCCTTGATGAGTAGAAGAGACTTCTTTCAAAACATTTAAAAATCATACTGTTTCCAAACTTTTGACAAGTTCTGTATATAAATTCCTAAAATGTATGAATTCACAGAAAAGTATGTCAGAAGAACAAAAAGCAGAAAGTTATTTAATCATGTGTTGGAAACTTGGGTTATATATTTGTTTCTTGTTGCTTAATATGCAAATATGTATACTGGGTATGTAACCTTATATTCTCTCTGTCTCTCAGTTTTCTTTTGCTTTCACTTTATTTTCATCCCACAGACACACACACACGTAGACACGCGCACACAGACACGCAGACACAGACACACAGACACACACAGACACAGACACGCACATAGACGCGCGCGCAGACACACAGACACACAGACACACAGACACGCAGACACAGACACGCAGACACAGACAGACACACAGACACACAGACACACAGACACAGACACAGAGACACAGACACACACGCACACAGACAGACACGCACACGCACACGCAGACACACAGACACACAGACACACAGAAGGTGAAGTGGATCAGAAAACTACCGTCGTCCCTGTCCTCAGGGTTCCTACCCATTTTCCATTTCAAAATTCCATACTTTTCCAGACTCAAATTTCCAAACTTCTCAGTAGATTTTCAGACCATATTTAACATAAATGGTTCAAAGAGCATTATTTTCAGCTTTATATTTGGTATACAGTACAGTCATCTGTAAATATTCGAAGTGATTACAAACAGACACACACACACACACACACACACACACACACGTGCATTTGTCCTTCGGTGACTTTATGGTGCCTCATCATTCTGCTGGCTGAAATGTGGAGAATGTTAAAAATGTGCTGCTTCTTTCACCATCATCTACCCTCGTCGCTCTGCGCTCCTCACTGTCATATTTGTTTATTTCATTTCTCGATCCTGGAGTTACTCCTCTCTTTCCGTTGCTCTTTCTCAGGCATTATCTCAGCCAGACTGAACTTTCTCCTCCTGGAGGTGTTTGAGTGAATTTCAGCACCATTACCTGACTGTTATAATAGTTTCTAAGCTTTACTCTCATCCAACATGAACATCTAGTACATTAAGAGAATAGAACAGGCACCTAAATGTGATGCGTTTTCAGCAATGGGAAAGAAAGACTTGTACAAACAAATGTAAAGAGATCCAGTGTGATCGTATTGTCCTCCTCTGACCTGCTTCTGTCTGGCTCCGTTTTGATAACAATCCCATATGGATTATTTATAAGCAGCTGTTATTAAATGAGTAAAGAAACCTCATATAATAATTTGGTTGAGGTTATTTAGGAGTCACAGAGGAAATGATACGATGAGCTGGCCGTCAGTCTAGTTTCACAGCTAATTAAAGCAACATTTGAAATTAAATGCAAAACTTCCCGGCTATCTTCTTTCAGCTGTGAGTGGCAGACTCACTATATAGTAGTCTTCTTAAAGGGATAGTTCACCCAAAAATGAAAATGACCCCATGATTTACACACCCTCAAGTCGTCCTAGGTGTATATGACTTTCTTCTTTCAGACGAATCCGATCAGAGTTATATTAAAAAAAATGTCCTGGCTCTTCATCTGAAAGAAGAAAGTCCTATACACCTAGTACGGCTTGAGGGGGTGTAAATCATGGGGTCATTTTCATTTTTGGGTGAACTATCCCTTTAAGCTAAACAATATCTTTAAGTGACCAAGAAACTACAGTGTTTTAACTGTAACTTTGATTATATATTTAGGATTTTAATTCTTAAAATGAAATGAAAAAAATGCATATCTTATGATTATTATTGGCCTTATCTTTCATGTTTAACAGTGGCAATACAGTCTATATTGTGCCATAAGTGACAGATAAAACGTGTTGAAATAAGCAGGGCTGAATTGAAGAATGGCCTTGACATTTTCATCTGCTTTGTATACAGTATTTTGCTTTTGTCCCGAGTAAGACTGTTTTTCCTGTGTGCTTTCCGTCGTGTGCATCAGCAGAACTCTTGCCTTTGAATGTTTTCCTTCGGTGACGTGAGGTCTGTGCATTTGTGCTTTCATGTTTTGTTTGCTTCGTTTTGTGTTGTATCTCAGTTTGACATCTTTTCCTGTGTGCAAAGATTGGTAATCATGGGACTCTGAAGTTTTTGACTCTGAAGCTTTCAACTTTGCTACAGTATATGAATTTTGCAATTATTATTTTATGTAGACTATAAATGAAGCTCTGAATATGAACAAAAATGGATTAGTGCTATATTTACTAAATACATATATTATTTCAGCAGTTTTAGTTTGTTTTTATGATGCATAAAGACACGCAGCTTTCAGGTGCAGAGTTCCAGACTGAGGGTCCATTGCACCGGTTTATCTGTTGACCTGCAATATAAAGAGAGGCAGGAGACGTGAGTTGAGCAGGAAGGGTGGGAGGTGGGAGTGGTCAGGATGAAGGGGGAGTGGCCAGTGTGATTGTGTGTACGGTAGCCAGAGCTCAGTGACTGAGTTCTGCGTTTTATGTGCCGTACACACGTGTGGATTGAGAGCTGCAGACAGGAAATCCATAAGACGGTAAATTACTTTCATGAAGAGTTTTAACATGTTGTTATTGTAAATATGTGCTGATGTTACACTGATAAAAATAGCAACCTAAAAATGGGAACATCTAAATTAACTTCATAAAAAAAATTAACCATTACTGAATCAACCTAATTACATTAATATATGTATATATATGTTATATATGTGTATGTGTGTGTGTGTGTGTATGTATATATATATATATATGTGTGTGTGTGTGTGTGTATATATATATATGTATGTATGTGTGTGTGTGTGTATATATATATATATATATATATGTATGTGTGTGTGTGTGTGTGTGTGTGTGTATGTATATGTGTGTATGTGTATATATATATATGTGTGTGTGTGTGTATGTATAAAGAAATATTGTGAAATATTTTCACAATTTAAAATAATGTTAAAATAATATTCTATAATCTAATAATCTTAATATTTTTTTTAAATGTATTTATTTTTTTGCAGTGATCAGAGCTGAATTTTCAGCATCATAATCAATATTTCTTATTATTATCAATGTCGAAAGCTGTTGTGCTGCTTCATATTTTTGTGTAAACTGATAAATTTTTTTCTGTTAAAAAAAAAAAATATATATTTGAAATATATAAATATAAGTCTTTTGAAACATAAATGTCTTAACTGTCAAATTAATGCATCTTTACTGAATAAAAGGATTGATTTCAAATTCTTACTGACCCTAAACTTTCGAACCATAGTTTGTGTGTACGTGTAATAAAAAAAACTTGGAAAACAAAATGTCATATTACTAAAGTGTTCAAAATAGATTAAAAATTCAAAATGAAATTTTCCCTTGAATTGTTTGAAACAAAGGATAATTGACCTGTAGATTGCCAGTAAAGCTGACAGCCTTTGTTGTATATTCAGTGAATATGGTGTATGGCCTCTTCATCTCATGTGCGCGCGTGTGTGCGTGCGTATGTGTGTGTTTGTGTTGGAGCCAAAATGACAGGCCCCGCTACTGTATTTCACTCATGGTGAGTTGTGAGTGTGAGTGAGTGAGTGAGTGTGTGTGAGAGAGAGAGAGTGTGTGTGTGTGTGTTGGAGCCAAAATGACAGGCTCCACTACTGTATTTCACTCATGGTGAGTTAAGTGTGTGTGGTTCACCAGACTTATCCAGACGCTCATGGAAAATGACACTGACTGCTTCATACACACTAGATCTTATGAGCTTTTTGCACTCAGCTACCTCAAAATTGGTCAGTTTAGAAGACACAGCTTTATGTGGGTAAATATGTTTTTCACACAAGTTGTGAGATGTTGTGAGTTCAGGAGAGTGCATTTGGCCTACACTTTGCTGTGGTCACCATCTGAAACTCTTGCATTATGATAGCTAGATTAAACCTGTCACAAAGGACTAAATCCACCACATACACACACATAGAGGCTTACAGTCACTCTTCACCCAAAAATAAGATTTTGCTCTTATAACCACATGCAATATGACTGACTTTCATCTGTAGAGAGAAGCTGCTCTTTCCATGTAATAAAAGTGAATGGGGACTGGGGCTTTTAAGCTTCTAAAGGACAAAAAAGTACAATAAAGTTGTCCTTGCAAACCGTGCACTATAATCAAAGAGGTTTAAAGCCATGCCATAGTTTTGTTTAAGGAATAGGCAAAATGTAAGCATGACGTTCACAGGATCTTTATTTTTGGGCGAAATGTCTCTTAATCGGCAACCTTGGTCTGAACTTCAGAAAAAGCCATTTCTCATGTGTTTCTTTGGCAGCCGACTTATAATTATAGTGTAGAAATATGAATGTGACTGCTGCTGAGCAGTTTCTGCGTCTGTTTGCTTTATATCTGTCTTTTACAGATAGAAAATCAATGCTTTGCTGTTGTTTGCAAGTAAAATCTTGCAGGTTTGCTGTGGGAGAAAAGAGTCATGTTAGTCACCCATTTACATGCTAGGTTTAAATCGTTATGTCAGACTGGCTTCCAAGACTTCAGCTGGTCTGAAACACAATCACGTGACCTCGTGTAATACCCGATTATATCCGCTTGTGTTGGGCTGCTGATTAACAGCGGTTTGGTTTTATTGTACCATATAACTAAAAATCCTTTTACAGCAGCTAGACAAACTCCATTAAGCCAAAAAGACTTAAAGTCCATAGCATTAAGCAAACACTAAACATCTTAGTCCATTCAGCCTCCTTCACATCTTGGATACAAACTCAAAAACTGAAAAGTTTAATCTGGGTTACCTGTTTGAGAGATTTTTTTGTGTTTATATTGTCAAATGTGACCCTGGACCACAAAACCAGTCATAAGGGTCAATTTTGTGAAATTGAGATTTATACATCATCTGAAATCTGAATGAATAAGCTTTCTATTGATGTATGGTTTGTTAGGATAGTACAATATTTAGTCGAGATACAACTATTTTAAAATCTGGAATCTGAGGGTGCAAAAAAATCGAAATATTGAGAAAATCAGCTTTAAAGTTGTCCAAATGAAGTTCTTAGCAATGCATATTACTAATAAAAAATTAAGTTTTGCTATATTTACGGTAGGAAATTATCATCATGGAACATGATTAATATCCTAATGATTTTTTTGGCATAAAAGAAAAATCTATAATTTTGACCCATACAATGTATTGTTGGCTATTGCTACAAATATACCCCAGCGACTTAAGATTGCTTTGGTGCTCCAGGGTCACATATATTCTGTAATTCTGCACTTGAATGAGCATCAGATGATTAAAATGAAAGGGATCTGCAGTTGACAACCTGTCGTTTCTCTAAATAATTATCTTCTTCTTTTCAGTGCAGAATTGCATTTGTGCAAGTCGAAACAAATGTTGATGTGAAAGTATGTTGGGCATATAATTTCTGTGATATTTTAAATAAGTATAAATAAAAAAGGTAAAAAAAAATATGGTTTTAGTTTTTAATCTGACAATTCTGACTTTATTTCTTGCATTTTCGGGTTATAATTATGCGTTAACATCTCTGAATTTTGACTTCTTTCTCAGCATTGCAAATTTATAACTTTATATATATTTCTGTCTTGTTCTCCATTACAAATATCTACACATTCTTGAATCAAGATACATTAACTTAAAGGGGTCATATGATGCTTTTTTTAAAGATCATTATAAAGAATATCTCTTTGGTTTTGAGACTTTAGTCTTTGCAACTTCAGGGATCTTATCTATTCACGAACAGCTTGTAACACTCCAAAGAGAAAGGAAAACTTGAAATCGCATCATATGACCCCTTTAAGATATTAAGTCTTTTTTTTCTGATAAATTTTTTTTTTTTTTAAACAAGAAAAAATATCTGCCAGTGGGGTAAGAAAAATAAGCTTGTTTCCCCTTTGAATTAAGATTGCTTTACTTTTCTTACCCCACTGGCAGATATTTTTTCTTCTCAAGTACTTTTCTTCTGAAGTAAATGTATCTTGATTTAAGAATGTTCAGATGTTTGTAATGGAAAACAAGACAAAAGTACTAAGTAAGAAAACCATTTTTTGCAGTGCAGAGGCAATGTATTTATTGTACGTTTATTTGTTGTTCTTTTTTTGCAGGACGGTCGAGAGAACATCAAGGTAGAAGCTCTCGTTAGCCAATCAGAGAGAATTGAGAACCACAGAGAAGGCAAGTTAAATCACACAAAACTGAATGTCCATCTGAGAGAAGAGTTTCATCTTCTAAAAAAAGTTTAGAAACATTCCACATGAAGGTAGACGAGGGTGAGGGGGACGTTCAGCACCCCTAGAGATGTAAAACTCATTGATGTCTGTCCTACAGACTTTCATCCCCCCCAGCAGGTCAACCCCTATATTTAGTCCCAAAGTCTGTTGAAGTAAAACTCCTTTCCTGTGACCCTGACATTTGTGGTGTTAGTGGTCCTTACTCAGCTGCTCAACCCAGTAATTTTGGCCAGGGTGAGAGCAGGAGAGCAAAGACGGCCCTAATGAGTGCAGAAACAAAGACATTTTGGGAAGCCACTGTTTGTTATTCAGGTGGAGACAAAGGAAGTTTGGGGGCTGGAACAGGACGAGGAAGAGCATTTATACACAGTTGTTGTGGAGAATGAGGGAAGGACATGCTTTTTGTCATGCATGCATTTTGAAGTTTGGGTCAGAGACTCAAACAGATTTTGAGTTAAAGGAATCAGATATATAACTTGGACTGTGTTCTAGAATCTTTATGCTCCTTTATCCTAAAAGCACTTCTTGTCTGTCGTTTCCCATGAAAACAGTACTGCTGTGGTACAGTGATGGTGACAGGTGGTAATACTATGGTAATTCAAAGGTATTAGGCTGTCAGTGCTTTTAACATAGTGGGTTAAAATGGATTATCTCAATAATAAAATGTGACCCTGGACCACAAAAGCAGTCATAAGGGTCAATTTTTTTAAATTGAGATTTATACATCATATGAAAGCTGAATACATAAGCTTTGCATTGATGTATGGTTTGTTAGGATAGGACACTATTTGGCTGAGATACAACTATTTGAAAATCTGGAATCTGAGGGTGCAGAAAAATCTAAATATTGAGAAAATCATCTTTAAAGTTGTTCAAATGAAGCTCTTAGCAATGCATATTACTAATCAAAAATTAAGTTTTGATATATTTACGGTAGGAAATTTACAAAATATCTTCATGGAACATGATCTTTACTTAATACCCTAATGATTTTTGGCATAAAAGAAAAAATGATCATTTTGACCCATACATTGTATTTTTGGCTATTGCTATAAATATACCCCAGCGACTTAAGACTGCTTTTGTGCTCCAGGGTCACAAATGCTAAAGGAATAGGTCATGCATATAATTTATTTTTGAAAATGCAAAAGGAGATGTTTATGAGATAAATGGTCAAAATTATGAGATAAAACGTCTTGATTATGACAGTCGAAATTATGAAAAGTCGAAATTGACATAATTATGACGTAAAAAGTCAACATTATTAGGTGCTGTCATAACTTATCTTTCTTTGTACGTTGTAATTTTGACTTTTCTCATAATTAAGTCAACAGTGACAGTATCTCATTTTGGATTTTCTCATAATTAAGTCAATTGTGAGTTACACCGTATCTACACCGAAAGCGACCGCTGCAAATCATTTGAACTTTGTGTCAGTACGTCATAAATAGAACGAGGCAAAAGTTTACTGTCGGGCATTTGTCGTGTCCGCCGCGCCGCATCCAGTGTAGACAGCATCACTGATTATAATGGGTTCTGTAGTATTTTGTCGCGTACATCCGATGTAAATAAGGTGTTAGTATCACAATTTTGACTCATAATTATCACTTTTTATCTCGATTTTGATTTTTTATCTCATTATTATGACTTAGTCTCTCATAATGTTGTCTTTGTCATAAGTATCACTTTCATATCATAATTATGACTTAGTCTCTCATTATTTTGACGGTCATAATTATGATTTTTTTATCTCAGGTTTGAAAATGACAATCATAACGGCAAGTCAAAATTGAGTCATAATTATGAGTAGGGTTGCAAAAGGTGGAACATTTTCAGTAAATTTCGGAAATGTTCCAGAAATTTTGGAAACTTTCCAGGATTTTTTTGGAATATTCCAGGGATTTTTGGAAAGTTTCCGGAAATGTTCCACCCCTTTGCAACCCTAATTATGAGTCCGTTTCTGTGTTAAGTCATAAAAAGAAAGTCAAGATTATGACATACTAAACATAATTATGAGATAAAAGACAAAATTATGAGACAGTCATAATTGACATTAAAAAGTTGACTTTGTCATAATTATGACTTGTTACAATGATGTGTTGTAATTATGATTATGATTATTAATTTTTTTTCTTATGTGGTGAAAATGGGCTTCCATACAAATCCCAATCGGTTTGGGTATATTCAAATTACATGAAAATATGAATGAATGTCTTAATATAGAGTTAATGTAATGTAAATACAGAGTCATATGTGCTTTTTGTGTCATTTCTGCAGAGTAAATTTCATTTTAGGTGAGCTATTCTTTCAGCAAAAGAAGCAAAACAAATCTGTTTATCCAAAGAGATATGATTGAGGGAGTGTTGTTGGGTTTGACACACTGTTTTATAGCCTAGCATTTGTCTGAGAGTGTGGAGAGCTTTTCTTTGTGCTGAAGGAGAAGAATGCGTCTGGGGTTTGGATCTCTGAACTTCACTGCCTGCCACATCACTTGTGGTAAACAAAGCAGACAAGATGGGAATCAAATTAAGCACTCGACCAGGCCAAAGACTCAAGACCTCACAATAACAGGTCTTGGATGCATCATGTATGTTCACTTAGTCTTAATTTAGTGGAGAGAGTCATTTAAGGGAGTTTCTGATTGATAATAACAATGGTTTTTCTATGCTATATATACACATCTTTAACTAGTTGAATTCGCAGTCTATCACTTTGTCTCTTTCTAATTCAAAAATATGAAATGTAACATCTGACATTCTCAGCAGCATCTTGCCATAAAAAATATCTTAACTCTTTAATACAAGGAAACGTTCTTGATAAGGTGTATATCCTGACTCTGTAAGCAATGAAAAAAACGCAGCGTATGCTTAGACTAAGCAGCCCAAAAGCACAGACTTTGCTCTGCTCCTTCAGAGATCTGAGAATGGTGGAAACAGAAAGATACTTCCTGACCAGATGTGAAAAGTATCAGGATGTCGGCAAGACTGCTTTTACTACAAATTACAGGGATCTGCTCAGAATCGCTGTTACCTTTGCTCTCTCTCATTTCGGCTAGAGTCTGAGACCGACGCGTGAATGTGAATCTCTCAAGTATTGTCAGTGAACTGGGCATTTTTTCATCCTGTGTTGCAATCTTTGCTTTTGCCACACTACAAAAAATGCCTCAAGCGTCAGGTTTGAATTTGGAAGCTTGCAATAACAGCTGCACAGTTTTAACAGGTTTAATGAAAGAAAGAAAAAACATCTCAGTTACAAGAATCTTCAAATTTGAGCTTGTACATGCAGAGTTGTAAAATTGTAAGTATTTTGCTGATAGTCAGCTGAAGGTTGGATGCTAATGTCACTTCCTGTGCCCTCCATGTATTCTGCGTCTGGATATCTCCCAAACAGTGTGCATGCACGCGGGAAATGTGAAAGGAAATGTCCTATCTCCACCCAGCATGCACAGCTCATTACAATCACCATCTGACATTACCTTGGCTTAGTTCTGTTCGTTTTGTCTGTTCCCAGCTGCATATATTTGCTTTATGTAGTTAACCTAGAATTTCACCATGCATGCTAGTCTTAAAAGTCTCCTGAAAGAAATTCAGTATGCTGTATTCATCCATTCAGTATGCATAAAAAAGTTTAAGCGGTGAAGTTTATGCGGTGAAGTTTGAGCAAAGCTACAATGCAATGCAATTCCTGATTGTCCCATTATATTTTATTAAATGCTAACAAGATCAGTATACACTGTGTCTGAAGTAGCATACTTAAATTAAATAATGAAAGCGTTAAAGGTAATATTACATATATTAGTAATATGGTCGGTAAGATTTTTAATGTTCTTCTGCTCACCAAGGTGTCAATTATTTGATCAAAAATGCAGTAAAAACAGTAATATTGTGAAATATTATTACAATTTAAAATACCTGTTTTCTGTTTGAATATCTGTTAAAATGTAATCTATTCTTGTGATCAAAGCTGAATTTTCAGCATCATTACTCCAGTCTTCAGTGTCACATGATCCTTCATAAATCATTCTAATATGCTGATTTGCTGCTCAAGAAACACTGAAAACAGGTGTGCTGCTTCATATATTTTGTGAAAACCTTGATACATTTTGTATTTACGGATTCTTTAATGATTATAAAGTTCAAAAGCACAGCTCTTGTTTGAAACCGAAATATTTTGTAACATTATAAATGTCACTTTTGATCAATTTAATGCATCATTGCTGAATAACAAATAAAAGAAAATCTTACCGACGCAAACAGTCGTGTACATTGTGAATGCAAAGCTCTCCAGGTTCACTCTCACTAGGTTTTAAAATCAATAGTATGAATGGAAAGTGTGCTGAGACTGAGATCTGGTCATAGCTGAAGTGGACTGAAATGAGACTGAGTCCACTTTAATGTCAGGAACGGTGTGGTGTTTTGTTTTTTTCTCTCATTTTGGTTGGCTATTTTAAATGAGATTTGTGGAAACACATCTGAGTCTAACCTCGAAGTTCCTGTTCCAATGCACTTACAGTTATGTGTTTGTCTCTTGTAGCCTCGAGCCCTGACATGGTTTTAGTACTAGATCCTTTGGTCAGAGAGAAAGTCTCTTGTCCTCTGACTCAGCGGATCCAATGCGATCATCGCTCGCCCTCCTCAGAAGTCATTCCTTCATACCGAGAGCGTTCAGACTCCGGAGAATCGAATGACAGCAGCTCCCATCAGAGAAAGAGGCTGAACTCCAGCGCCTCAGACCGTAGCCACGAATCCCTGTCTACTGCTGAACCTCATCTGACAGACCAGAGCTCACCGTCAGGTCCGGCTGCAGAGCAAGTGAGGGCAGCTGTGAGTTCAGAGGCTCTGCAGACGGATCGAGACCTGAAGACACTTGACAATGGCCTGGAGACGACTCTCTTTCAGAGCACAGCAGCTTCACAAGCATGCACACTGAATGAGACGAGTAAAAGAGCTGAGGACGTCTCAGGACAGAAGGTGAGGAGAAGTGAAAGGTGTCTCATGGGAACACTTGCTCTGTTTGATCCACCAGGAGGTACTATTTGTCTCTGTTTTATCTCTGAATCCATCCACCACTTGCTCCGACTATCCTCCGTGCCATAACAATGTTCAGATGTGATTATTAAGAGAGTATCATTGGTGGTGTTTGGCTAAGAATCACTATTAACCTTGCTCATTTGGTTTTTTCATTCATGGGCAACAGACACAATACCTCAGATCCTGTGGCTTGTTGAAGAGTGTGTGCTTTCGCAATTCTTGTAAAATAGGCAAAAAATCCCATAGACTTACATTGACATGAGCCATTTATAGAGACCAGAAATTAGATTCTGTATAGTAACATGCTTAAACCACTCTGAACAACAACATACTTTACCAAATCCTACAATTTAATGTAAATACACTACCATTCTGAAGTTTAGGGCTGGCAAGTTTTTGAAAGAAGTCTCTTCTGCTCACCAAGGCTGCATTTATTTGATCAAAAACACTGTAAAAACTACAATATTGTGAAATATTATTTAAATTCAAAATAAAGGTTTTCTATGTGAATATATTGTAAACTCTATTTTATTCCGGTGATCAAAGCTGAATTTTCAGCATCATTACTCCAGTCTTCAGTGTCACATGATCTTCAGAAATCATTCTAATATGCTGATTTGCTGCTCGAGAAACATTTCTGATTATTATCAATGTTGAAAACAGTTCGTATTTTGTAGAAACCCTGATTTTTTTTTTCTGGATTATTTAACATTTTTAACAAGTTGTGCTGCTTAATATTTTTGTGGAAACTACTACTTTTTTTTTAAATATATTTTTCATTATAAACGTCTTTACTCTTACTTTTGATCAATTTAATGCATCCTTGCCGAATAGAAGTATTAATTTAATAAAAAAAAATATTTTGAATGTTAGTGTAACTCTATTTAAAAAAATCTCTTGATAAAACTCGATAAAGCATCTCTTTAAAATGCTTACTGCTGTAAACGGACATTGCTGCTACTGTGAACTGTTTTATGTCATGCTGTGAGAAGTTGATTTTAAATGATTTTTTCTTTAGATCACATCAGGTAGAGACGCTCTCCTGACTTCTCTCACTAATGGCAAGGATACAGGTGAGCAGTTCTGCATATCACATCAAAATACATGTTGATTAATAAAAGATTTAGCCTTCGAAATGCTTAATAATTAGTATTATTTTTAATTATATTTCCTCCATTCGAATCTGACTTGCATATGTTGCATACCTGGCAAAATAGATGCCCAGCAGGAAGTATGGCCAAGCTGATGTCCTCCTGCTTTTGTTTAAAGTATGAAGATAGAGATCCTCTCGCAGTCAGCAGGCTGTATCCCAAGATCCTCACTCTTCCTTATGACCTAATAGGGCCATTACCACATTCACAAGCGTAGAGGCCCGGTCCGGTGTAATGTTTTAATCAGTCTTTCCAGTCTCCTCCCCCTTCTGCAGAAACTAAAACATCCTGCATGATCCCTAGGACTGAAAAATCCCAAATGAGATGGAATTAATTACCTTACTATCACAATTGTTTATTCTAGACACAATAAAATTAGATGGAGAGCAAGTGAAGACTTTGATTAAAGGGATAGTTGAATATTCTGTCATGAACGTCAAACAAGTTATATGTGAATAAATAGCTAAATTAAATCTGTTCATCATATAAGCAATAGAGTCTCTTCAGAAGAATCATATGTATTTCTTTTAAGATGTCTTTATGAACTTATGAAGCGTCGAGTTTTGGTGGAATGGATTTCAGTGAAATCATTAAAAATATCTCCACTTGTGTTTTGAAGAGGAATGGGTTTATGGGTTTCGAACGACATGAGGGTAAGTAAATGATGACAGAATATTCATCTTTGGGTGAACTGTCCCTTTAAATCTCTTGCGTTCCTGCTTTAACCTAGAAGAAAGCTCCAGTACTCTCACATAGGTCTCCTCTAGAGGTTCAGAAGATGTCTCAAGGATTGAGATTTGCTAAGACACCAAAGACTACAATGAAATGTCCGGGATTTAATAATTAGCATTTTTCATCAACTTCTTCCGAGACGACATGATCTGGGCTGTGCTGTCCACAATTATTTGATAGCTTATACTGTCATACAGGCTTCATTTTAATTATCATTTTTAATGTACGGTAACACTTTATTTTAGGGACCAATTCTCACTATTAACTAGTTGCTTATTAGCATGCATATTACTAGCATGTTGTCTGTTTATTAGTACTTATAAAGCACATTTAATGTCTTATTCTGCATGATCATATTCTAGATCCCTTAATTCACCCCATACCCAAACTTAACAGTTACCTTACTAACTATTAATAAGCAGCAAATTAGGAGTTTATTGAGGCAAAAGTCTAAGTTAATAGTGAGAACTGGTCCCCTAACTAAAGTTTGACATAATGTGTTTATTTTTTTTTTTCCAGATTTGAATTAAATTAATAAAAATTACTTTTTTCTTTTCAGATTTTAAAAACAAAGCCTCATTCTCGGGGCCCGTCATTCGCGACAGGATGCGCAAGTTCACCGAACCTGTTACGAACGCACCTAAAATCAGCCGCAGTTCGTCTCATTCCACAAACACAGTGTCTGCAGAGAGGTCCTCGTCCTGTTCTTCCTCCATCCCAAAGAAAGAGAGGAATGTGACTGAGAACATGTTGGCCCAGCCCAGGCTTTTCTCCAGCCAATCACACGCCGCAGTGGGCGGCTCACACGGCTGCACTGAAAATGTCAGGCGTGCGTGTAGCAGTTCAGAAGAAGTGCAGACTCCTGAGGGAGAAGCATCTTCAGAGACCCACGACACCCGAGGTGAACCCGAGTCCAACATGAAGACCTTCCTCAGCATTGAGATCAAAGACGGACGAAACCCATCTTCACTGTCATCGCCCTCTGCAGCCATAAACATGAGCCCTCGAATCATCACATCTACTGCTCCACAGAGAACAGGTAAGCAAATGAATCAACTGATTCATAAAACACACATGAATTTTGTACCCAATTATGCATTCCAAAACAATAGTGGGTGAATTGATGGATTTGCATGAATACATTTGTAATTTTAGATACATTGAATGCAATGTATATTGCTTTGGAAAAAAGTCTCTGCCAAATGCATAAATATGTAAATGTATGTATAATTTAAAAATATATTCTACTGTTCAAAACTTAGAGTACTTAGGCTCAGTAAGATTTTTTTTATTCAGCAAGCATGCATTAAATTGGTGACAGTAAAGACATTTATAATGTTTCAAGATATTTCTATTTTAAATTATTGATGTTCTTTTGCACTTCCTGTTCATCAAAGAATCCTGAAAAAAAAGAATCACAGTTTCCTCAAAAATATGAAGCAGCACAACTGTTTTCAACATTGATAATAATCAGAAATGTTTCTTGAGCAGCAAATCAGCATATTAGAATGATTTCTGAAGAATCATGTGACACTGAAGACTGGAGTAGAGTTTCCGTGGGTCCTTAAAAAGTCTTAAATTTAGTTAGTAATTTAAGACCATAAAAGTCTTAAATGGTACAAGTAGGTCTTAATTATGATTTCAAGAGGTCTTAAATTTGGGGACGGAAAGACAAGAATCGATATATAGCTCAATGTGATGATTAAACTTCAAAAGGCTGGTTTTATTAAATAAACATGAGCGCTGCACGTTTCAAAGTCCGGAGCTGCTGCTTTGTGTACTGCCATTACCGGGAAAACTGCTGTATTTCTGCCATTCCTGCTGGTAGAAAATGAATGTGCATTTTCAATGAGCCCGTCTGCTGTTTATGTTCAGACCAATGCGAAAATCCACCCATGTTTAAATTCTGCAAACACGCAGAGCTGTAAATGGGAACTGGTGGATTGACAAGAAAATTCATTCTAAAAATCTAAACGATTAAGACAGTAAAATATATTTATATGTTATTTAATTAATATAATGATAGATAATGAATGTTTAAATTAATATAATTGCTACTTATGACTCATTCAATTTCTTAAAAATGGTTTAAAGCCTGAAATGTGAAGTTTATAATTTGATAAAACTTTGTTTTTGTGAAAACCTTTATCTGAACTGTAAATTAGGGATGCACCGATACTGCGCTCCTGTACTCGTACTCGTAAAAATTCCCCGATACCAAAAGCCGATACCACACAGCGTGTGAATAGAGTTGTGTCCAGAAAAAGAACCACTGAAAACAGAACAACCGAGAGTAGAATGGAGTTATTAGAGATTAAAGATGTCTATGGAGTACATGTAAGTAATTAATATAATGTTAAACATTCAATATTCACGCTTGTATAGCTGATGTGCGCGAGCTGATAAGCAGAGCGCGCGGCTGCACAGATGCGCGAGCTTGTCGAGTGAATATCTCACCGATATCACTGGAAAGTTTGTAGTTCGGTCGGATATGTCAAAAGCAAGTAAGTAAAACAATGCACAAGTTACTAAAGTTTTTTGACGGTAAGGAGAGCGAGAGAGAGAGTCCGAGAGCGCACACTTCTGTGGCATTATCTTTATTACTGTTCGCTCCATTAGTTCATGCATTTAGATTAAAACTAAATCGTAAATATAAAACAAACAAAAATTATAGGGGCATTCACTATAAACAACATTAATTTTAAACGTCAAGCATACACAACTTTCTTTAAAGCAGAAGTGAAACTAGCAGACTGTGTGAAATGCGCTAGGCTGTAAGTGTCTCTCTCATTCTGCACCAATACAAACGTGTGCGCGCTGCGTATGTTTAGCTTGCTTTAAGGCCAAAGTATACTTCGGTTTTTACTCGTATGCGAGGGTCCGTGTACACTGCGCATGACGCAAATTACATCACCAAAATAGTATGCGTGCACTCGTATAATGTATAACGAGTGGTTCCCTGCATTATTTTAGGAAAACGTTTTGTGACTAACATGATTCATATTATTATTATTATTATTTTATTTTTAATTTCTTTTGTTTCTGTACCCAATTTTTTTTAAATTACAAATGCTGTGAAAATACAGGTATCTGTATAGGCGAGTACCAAAAATGAAAGTATCGGTATCGGACTCGTTATGAAAAAAGTGGTATCGGTGCATCTCTGCTGTAAATCATGCTTTTTACAGTTTAATATGTTACCATAGACGTTGCCCTACCCCTCTCATAAGGTATTAATTGTATTTGTGCAGGTCTCAAAAAAGGTCTTAAAAGTCTTAAATTTGAGCTTAAAAATCCTGCAGAGACCCTGAGTAATGATGCTGAAAATTCAGCTTTGATCACAGCAATAAATTACATTTTAACATATTTTCACATTGAAAACAGTTTTTTTAAATTATAGTAATATTCCACAGTACATTTGCGGCTAACAGCACAAGTAATTGTCTTGCTTATAACATCATTTTAAAGTAATTTTCTCAGTGTAATGGCATTTCTCACAAAATATTTACACCCATCATGTTTTCCCCCCCTTGAAATGCATGTTTAGGTGGCCTAACTCTAGGAAAGTGTCACCAATTTTTTAATTTTCCAATTGTTTAGCAGTCACTAAAATGTTATTTAGTGATTGGTCTCTTTTGATGTGAATCAAGTAAGGTTCAGATTACTGTTCTAGTGTTGCATACATTTTTTGTTGTTGTCATTTGTTTTATTGTAGTATTTACTCACATTTTGGTGCTCGCACATATTCATCTGTAGAGCTGCTGAACTTTTGAAATATTGTACAGTACACCATTATTGTGTGTGTGTGTGTTACCAGGATTCACATGTAAGATGGCAAATGTAAGAACGTAGTATCACCATGGACCATTATTTCTCTTCACAAAATCTCATAAACACTGATATCACCCATGTCAAATTTTGCAATGTACAAAATAATGAAGTGTATTTCTTATAATCACTCCTATAAAGAGTACATCTTCAGATGCTGGGCCTATTAAAACAAATCTGTTGCTCTGCTTTGGATGTCTATACATCCAAAATAATGTATAAAATATCCAAACAAACATTTCTGTTGTATTTTTTGAGCAGAGAATCAGGATCAAGTGAAGGTCCTATGTCCTGTTTCCCAAATTTGAGCACGTTTTTGAGTCTTGTTGGTTAATGTTTAATATCTTGTATTGTATTAAATTTTGTATTTGTTACTGGATAGTTAAAGGAAATCAACATTTTACATTTTCTCTAAATTCCTAGTGGCCATTTTGTCCTGCGGAGAATCATAATAGTCCTGTTGAGAACTACTGTAGCTCTTTAGTTTCATGTTGAGTTGGAATTTTGTATGAAAATTTCAATTATGGTTAATTCGGATTGGTTTCAAGTAGGGCTGTCACGATTCGAGTACTCGATTATTAAAAAATCCTCTATTGCGTTTTGCCCGTGGCAGTTAACTGGCAAAATACCGGAAGTGGCGCATTCTACGGACAAGAATCCATGAAAAGCATTATTAGACCATTTTCTAAGGCTGCTGTATTAAAACCATTTACAAATCATAATAAATCCTACTGCTGTTGTTAATTCACAAAGGCTGTGATTCAATTAAATAAATATATGCGCTGCAGGTTTAACCTGTGCTTTATTTCTGTGCGTGTCGGTCACGGCTCTGTTCACAGTAAATGCTGCTCCGCACAAAGAGTTATAATTTACATCCGCAGTCGGAGAGTCTCAAACTCCATCTCTGCATGCTGTGAGTCTGAGTATAACGTTCATCTGAGAACATGTGCACCATTCTGTCAGATTTATAAGGTAAATCATTTATAAAGCCACACCAACACAGGAGAAAACATCATCATCTTTCTAAATATGCTGACTGTTTGTCACGACTTCAAAATAAAAGTTTAACCCTCGCTCTGAGTTTGCATGTTCTGATGTCCACATATTCAAGAAATTACAGCGGCTGTAGCATTTCAGTCATAAAGAAGTGGTCAGATATTAAAGATTAAGTGGACATTTGAATTAAATATTATTATTACAATCGTCAGGCCGTTGGCGCCTCTGCAGGCATTTGATATTATACATAATGTACACAAGTTATGATTATATTGTTTTATTACATTATGTATTTTAACTGTTTTGTTCAATAAAACCATATGACTGCTTGCTTTTGATATGCTGTTATATATTTAAGTCATTTCAAAGTTCGCTAAGCTCTGTTTTTCTACCGATTACTCGATTACCAAAATAATGTTAATGACAGCCCGAGTTTCAAGTGATGATTCTAAAAGTATCCTTTAGAAATAGTGGGTTTTTGCCCATGGTGTTGAGGTCACAGGCCTAGAAAGCTGGAAATGGAAAGCTAGTTAAGCCGATCCAGATAACTGTACGTTTCACAGATGTTTTTATGGGGAAGGCCGAGTGAGCTGATGGAACAAACTGGAGTGCAAGCTGTGCATATTCTCCGTTTGGCAGCCATGTTGGAAATTTCACCCTAAAATGTAATATTTCCATTCATTCCTTCTCCATGATTCAAGTAGAGTATGAGTAAGCCTATTTAATGGCTTTGCATATAAACTTTAAAAGAATCTCTTCTCTGGAAACTGTTGTGGTTCCTTTAAGAAGGAGTGGATTTCAACCTGTGCTCCTGGATGGTGCTTATGAATGTGAAATCATGATAGTTCACCCAAAAACAAAAATATTCTCATCTTAGACTGTTTGCACCCTTATGTCCCTTGAAACCCATATTGTTTCTTTTTTCTGTGGAACACAAGATGCTTAACAAAATGTTCAGGCTGCTCTTTCCATTCAGTGAAAATAAAGGATAATTAGCAAAAATTAAAATCATAGTGTGTGCTTTACTGAAAGTCTTCTGAAGCCTTATGCTAACTTTGTTTAAAGACTAGACGGTAAAACTTCAGATTAGGGAAGACTATTCACTATTAACTTATTAGCATGCATATTACTAACATATTGGCTGTTTATTAGTACTTATAAAGCACATATTAATGCCTTATTCTACATGAGCATATTTTAAATCCCTTAATCCTATCACATACCTAAACTTATCGGGGTCATATGATGTTGCTAAAAAGAACATTATTTTGTGTATTTGGTGTAATGAAATGTGTTTATGCGGTTTAAGGTTAAAAAACACATTATTTTCCACATACTGTACATTATTGTTTCTCCTCTATGCCCCGCCTTTCTGAAACACGTCGATTTTTACAAGGTAGGCGTGGTTGACTCTTAACTTTTATAAAGAATATCTCTTTGGATTTGAGACTTTAGTCTTTGCAACTTTACAGATATTCTTTATGCACCAAGAGCTTGTAACACTCCAAAGAGAAAGGAAAACTTGAAATCGCATCATATGACCTCTTTAACAACTACCTTACTAACTATTAAATATGCAGCAAATTAGGAGTTTATTGAGGGAAAACTCTTAGGTAATAGTGAATGTCTTCCTTAATCTAAAGTGTTAACGACTAGATAGAGACTGAGCAAAATATTTTCCCACGTTGCAGTTGTGTTCTCAGATCTGTAGCTTCTTCAGAGTCATTTTTGTGTTTTTTTTTCTTCTGAAGTGTCTTTGTGAAGATTTGACCTTTTCTAAGTACCGTCTAGAATGGTTTATTCTAGCATCCGCTTCTTGTCAATTGAAACAGCAGCGCAAGATTTCGGCTTCCAAACATTTGGATGTTTTGCACTTTTGTCTTCATTTTCACTTGGACTGAAGCAAATCTTTTTTTATGCGCTGATAGCAATATAATGCAAGCAATATTAGATAACTTCTGTTGCGTAATTTGAAGCTGTTATCAGACTTTCCATCATGTTTTCTGTTGCTTCCCCCAGGTTCTGAAATAGTAGTGAAATAATCTAATGAGATGACGTGCATTTCATTTTTAAAGTATTTAATTCACTGAATTATCCAAAATATACATTGCCATATTTGGTAACACTTTACTTGAAGCCTAATGCTTTAGACATTCGTAATGTAATGCCATTGTACGGTATATTTTGTAGAGTTTACTGACTAAAGTTAAAATGCATTATATATGCCGATTCCATGTTGCATCTGAAATTGTCATGTGTGTAATGCATTATACTTTCTAAAGGTGTAAGTATTATAACTGTATAATTCATGCATTAAAAATACTTTGCATTGTATGTAAAGGCGTCAAGTAAAGTGCTACATTTTAATTTTATATGCAGACCATTTTTAGTTGAATTTCCATCAAAACTAGCTCATAAAATAATATAACCGTAGTATTTTGGTTAACTGGCGTTAAGTGTGTCTAAGGACCCCTGTCATATAATCATAATTCACATGCCAGTTCACCCTCTTTCACCCGGCTGATGCATAAACACAATCACTATTCTCCTCGTTTTATCATATCGCTCTCTGTCTGTCTCTTCACTGTTTCATCAACAGACCGTATTTGTCGTCGTGCCACAGCTCTGTCAGATCTTCCTTTTTTGGAAGTGCTTTGCTCATCCTTGCCTCTGAAAGGTCTCGCAGGCAGTGGAACCGTACTTGAAAGCCTCAGGATATTTAATGCTATAGAGCTGCAGTAAAAGAGTGTTTACCGTCTCACTGAACCACATAAGGACCCTGGTCTATTGTGTAATCGCTTGCGAACTGATGGAAGAGACCGTAAACAGAGCAGGCTGCTTTATTTAAGAGCCACATTCAACTCTTTGATTTCGTCAGCAGTGTGTTCTTGGCCAAAGAGGTTTTTATTTGGGAATTTATTGACGTTTTAATGTCTTTAAACAAACCAGATCTCTTGGGATAAAACACAAGTTTGCAATGAATAGTATCAAGTTCTGATGGAGAAACAACATGATTGAATTCATTTGATTGGAGAAAACAAAGAGACTTTTTGTACACTAGTACATTTGAAAGTTTGGGTTGTTCAGATTTGCAAGTTTAAAAAAAAGAAAGAAAAAAGTGTCTTCTGCTCACCAAAGCTATATTTATTTGATACAAAAATGCAGTAAAAACAGTAATATTGTGAAATATTTTTATGATTTAAAACAGCTGTTTTCTATGTGAATATCTGTTAAACTGTAATTTATTTCTGTGATCAAAGCTGAATTTTCAGTATCATTACTCCAGTCTTCAGTGTCACATGATCCTTCAGAAATCATTCTAATATGTTATTATTATCAATATTGAAAACAGTTCATATTTTTGTAGATTAAAAAAAATATATATTTAATGAATAGAAAGTTCAAAAGAACAAAATTTTTAATATAAATCTTTTGTAGCATTATAAATGTCTTACTGTCACTTTTTATCAACTGAATGCATCTTTACTGAATAAAAGTATTATTATAAAAAAAAAAACTAGTCTTCAATTCCAATAAATTGTACATAACTGAAAACTCGCGCTGCAATATAATTCACGATACTGGTTTCACAATACAATTTTCTCACAATATTTTTTTAATATAGAGATTAAAATAAGATTTAAGACCAATTATAAATGAAAAAGTGTCCTTTTATTATTTCCCAGACAAAATGTTGCACATTTCTTTGTACAAAAACAAATCTCTTCATAAAAACAAAGGCTTTTTTTGTTTGTCTGCTTTAATATCAGCACAACCACATTTTCCAGCACCTTGTACAGAAAATGCATTTGAAGCAAACACAGAATGGTCTTTTTTTTTATTATTTTTATTTTTTTTATTTTATTTATTATTGCATTTATTTTATTTCAAGTAATATATATATGTATAATGGTTTTAGTTAACTATAATAAGCCTGGACAATATGTGCTGATGCAGCAAGCGGTGCATTTGTATTCCATGCTGAACGTATCCAGAGAGCGCTGAGCAGTGTTTACGTTAGCAGTAATGTGACCATGCTAATTTATGAGCCCTATGTGGTGCCATTGTTGGCAGCTTACATAACAGACTAAAGACTCCACTCCGACTGAAGCTCGATTTAACGTCTAAACAGTGCTGTGTCAATATTTCTTGGGGTGGCATGATGTCTTCAAACACACACCATTATTAGACGTTCTTTAGAAGCTGAGTCTCATCTAAATCTTGTATTTGTCTTAACTGTTCTCATTTGTGGTTTTCTCAGAGCTGACGCTTGGTTTAAGAGCGACACCGTTCAAAGTGACCAGCTCAAGTCTCTCGTCTGGATCCTCAGTTAAGGTATTTAACAGAAGCAGACTGTTTTAACACAAAACAAATCTATATTAGTCAATGTTTTGTAGCATAAACAGGAGTCGTGATAAGTTTTCATCTTCTCTTTGACCCTTATAAGATCCTTTTTGCTGCTGTGCCTTTAAGGCCTTCACATAAATTACATCTTTGCATGTTAAATGAGTAACGGCGCTTTGCTGTGTTAGCGAGACACTCACTACTGTCTCAGTGTGAACTTTGACACTTTCAAAGGTCTCGTCACTCACTACTGAAACAGCTGACAAGTGCAAACAATTCACAAAAGCTTCAGAAAGGAAGTGCCTCTAGGACCAAAGACGTCATTTCCTCTGTTCATGGGACAGAAACCCTACAGTGACCCGTGAATGTCATACACACTCTCACAGATTAAAGTCAGCATACAGTCAAAATGGCATGTTACTTGGTCTTGTTGCATGTTACAGTTATTTTCAGTTAGGCATCAGAACTTTAGAAAGCAGCAGAAAAAACATAAATATCCACGTTCACATCTCAAAAATCGGTGAAATGAGCACAATTTTGTTTCTTGGACCAAGAAAGACCTGTGATCGAAGACATTTAGGCCAAAAAAATTCATGTAGTGACAACTACACTCTCATTCAAAAGATTGGGATCGACAAGATTTTTTTTCAATGTTTTTGAAATAAATCTTTTATGCTTACCAAGGCTGTATATCTGATCAAAAATACAGTTAAAAACAGTAAAATTGTGAAATATTATTACAATTTAAAATAAATGTTTTCTATGTGAATATCTGTTAAAATGTAATGTATTTCTGTGATCAAAGCTGAATTTTCAGCATCATTCCTCCAGTCTTCAGTGTCACATGATCCTTCAGAAAGGATTCTAACAAGAAACTTTATATTATTATTATTTGATCAATTTTGAAAACAATATTCTCCAAGATTTTGGTTTCAAGATTCTTTGACGAATAAAAAGTTCAAAAGAACAGCATTTATTTGAAATAGAAATATTTTGTAACATTTTAAAGTCTTTACTGTCACTTTTGATCAATTTAATGCACCCTTGTAGGCTTGCTGCGATAGACGGTGCTGACGGTGATACCGGTGTTAAGCCGCAACACCGGTTACGTCACTTGCCCACCACGTCACTGAGCCCCACCGTCGTTTAGATTTTTTTTATAGTCATAAAAATCATTTAGTTCAGTAAAAGAACAGACACTACAATTAAAAACTGAACGCGGCTACTCAATGCAGCATGCCGAACAATAGTCGCATCACAGATCAGATTTCATTTCTCCAGTGAGGAGAGTGAGTCGAGCTGACTGACAAGAAGAGTGAGGTGAGACAGACAAGACGATCGCGGATGATTTAGTTTCTAAACGAAATACAAAAGCGCCTGTTTGGCAATATTTTGGATTTTGAAAAGCCTGTTGACTTTTGCCGTTTATCTAAGGTGATTTTGGAAGTAAAAAAAAAAAATAAAATCTTATTTAATTGGTTCCACAATTAAATGTTTTAATGTTTTAAAAATGTTTGCTGATTTTTACTTTATTTAAACTTTGTGTGATTTATTTATTTCATTTGACATCAAGGTGTATGCCGTGCCTTCAAGCTTTCTTATTAGTTTTGCTAATAAACATTCTACGTTTTTTATTTATTTGGTTCCACAATGTTTGCTGATTTTCAGTTTTGTATACCTAGGCTATTTAAACTTGGTGTTAATTATTTGTTATTTTATAGTAGGCATAGCATATAGAATGGTGTATTTTGATTTGTTTTTTTAAAGGTGCTGTATGTAGGATTGACACCGAGTGGTTGAACTAGGTATTGCAGTCCAAATTCTAAATATTGGAGAGGGTTTTTTTCACCCGGCACCTCCTCCTCAGACTTGACGCACACGCAGGTTGCCAGATTGACGACACCAACAGGAACGAGTGTATTTGACGATGAATGAAATAAAATGCGCCATGTTTTCCGCCAACTGGCAACCCGGGGTGCCGAAATGCAATTGGGTAAACTGGCAGTGGACGGGTTTCACAAACCAAAACAGAGACCGACATTCCGGCACAGAACGCACATTTTAAATAACTGAGAATAACTGACTGTAGCATTGTTTTTCAGATAAACAAGTATGTTAACTTAGCATGTTTCTTAAATATCTGCAAACATATTATGGTATTGTTATGCTTTAGTAGAGTCAAAAACTTACATACAGCACCCTTAATAAAAGTTCTATGATTTATGTATAGGCTAAGTTGAGTTTGAATTTGTATTTTGTTGTTGCTTGAATTGATGCCAAATTGCTGCTAGTTTGAAAGTGAAAGTAAAATGCGCACGGCGCCTTTAAGTTATTTAAAAGCGAAGGAAAGCGAGAA